TTTTTTTTTTTTTTTTTTTTCTTTTTCTTTTTGGGGTTTTTTTTTTTTTACTTTTTTCCTGCACCAAAAAAAAAAAAAAAAAAAACAAAACAAAAAAGCCATAAACAATTAAGTTCAATGCTCCTGAACTCCACATCACACTGCGTCTCCTCAACCACTGTGTCCACCCCCTCTTTACTATAACCTTGAATAAGCTCCTTCATCTTTGCCATCTCATTAGGGAGAAGCCACAGCACTAGACAGATCATATCTTGCTACCACCTCATTTTCATCTCCCTTCCCCTTGCAACACTCCTCAGTAGGAGTAGCTTCCACTACCCTATATAAATTAACATTAAAGCCGCAATCTTCCACTGTTGAACTAGAGGTCTCCTCTGAGTTGCCAAGATGATCTTCATAGACAAGTATTGGGTGTAGTTTACCCTTGCACTCCAGGTTTATGGTTTTGTTAATGAGCTCCATGCACGAAGTAACAACTTTGACACTAGAATAGGAAAATGACTCCGGACGGCTAATATCACCCTCCAAATTAAGGATTGTCCCCCACAAAAAGCCAATGTTGTTTAGTGTGTTCCTGTTCCAGAGGTTTAAGGGTATACCTTGGCGCCTCAACCACACACATCTCTCCTACTCTATATGGACTCCTGGGTTCCGTTCCAACACAAACAGACTCCAGGCTTGAAACCATTCCTTGATACTATGTATATTGGACTTCAACTCCTCCTGGGATTTGAAGATCAAGACTACATCGCGACCTCCCCCCTCTCTGACCACAACTTGATCTAACCCCTTCTCCTTCAGGGCCTTTTTGATGCTGTGAATGGAATAATCCGAGTGCAGTTTGATGAGTACACTTTCATATAACCAACCATGACCATCTTTATTGACTTTGATGGTCATGACTGCTGTTCCAGCTGCAGATCTTGTGACCTCTTTTAGTACCTCTGCAAACGATCTGTGGCCAATATAAGGTATTTTACCCTTGCTTCTATGTAGGTCAAAAGCCTCTCTGCTGGTCTGGGGCTGACCCCTGCTATGCACATCCTTTGAGTTCTTGTCATGAATGACGTATTTCACTTCGAGTACCCTGTCATCTACCAAAAGTCCATTTGCTTTTTGTATGGCGATATCTGAGGCTACATGGCAGCCGTATCTCACAAAGCCAAATCTTGAGTTTGTCGTTTTCCGTCTTTTGAAAGGGATGAAGACATCTTGAACGATGCCAAACTTTGTGAAAAGTTTGAACAATGATTTAGCATCCATTGACCTTGGTAAATTGTCCATAAACACAGTAAATAGACCAATCCTTGCTATTTTTTCCCGAGTTCCGCCTCCTCTTCATTGATTCACCACCGGAATCCAACCGCCATTTCCTCCTGTTTCTCCATATGCTTTTGTTTATAGATTCAAAGACTATCATTAAGGATTACCACTTGAATGTCTTCCCCATCAAAATATCCTAGGATTTATAGTTAAAGTGTAACTGCATACAAATTATATGTGATCGTACCTTATACAAAAAGGCATAAAGGCATGCCCACTTAGTTTCTTTTTGTCAAGGGGAACCAAATTGACAACCGCGAATAAGACAATCAACTCATTGGTCCTAAAACTAATGATTTAAACCCCAGTTGGCCTAACCCAATGTCACTGGGTTTTTGTAACAGGCTGGTCACCAACAACACCAAGGCCTATGATAGCTGTAATGGTTCTTTATTTGGGCG